AGGATAATTTTGATGTCCACACATTCTAGGATGACTCATCTGTCTAATTCACTTTTTGAAGTACACATAACTCTCGGATTTAAATCCGAGGTTTCCACATTTATTTTTAAATATTTTTTAATTAGTTTTTACGTAAATTATTGCAACAATGCATTCTTCCGTTTACTTCAATTCACGAGAAAAAAAGTAAATATAATTCGAAATAATTTTTATTATCATTTTTATTTTCAGATGAGGCAGAAGAAATCTAATATAATTAAAATATTTTTGTTTTATTGATTTTAAAGAATCAAAGAAAAATGTGCTGGGTTATTAATTTTGCATTAAAAATGTAAATGACTGATACTGTTATAATGAAGTTACATATATATATTTTATTTTTAATTTAAATAGAATTTGATTGAATGATTTTATTTTGCCTAAATACAATATTTTAATAGAACTATTTTATTCGGAAATAAATTAAAATGATCTTAGATTTCACTTTAAATTAGACGAAAAATTAATTTTTATTTTGTCATATTTTAGTAAAATTAAAGTTTAATTAATAAAAAAGATTTATGTACGATTAAAATGTAATAAAATTATCATAGCTATTTTATTCATTTTAAAAATACAATAAAATAATTTTTATATTGCAACGAAATTTATTTATAATGAAGTTACGGTAGATTTAATTTTATATCTGATGTCACAATAAAATTTTTAAAATTCATTCTTTAATTTATATTTGTTTTATTAATTGAATCCATCATTTTGATTCATTTCCTAAAGAAAGGAGAGTTGAAACTGTGAGGAAAATGAACCTTTATGATTGGTTTTTCGTAATTTTGTGTTGTTTTCTTAAATTTTTTTTTTAAATAAATCTAGTTTCAAAACTAGGAAAAAGTTGACCGAGAATAGTTGATCAAAGCGCATCAATCTCAACTATTTGGTTGGCTTTCAAATATTCACCAATAGAATAATTACTAAACTCTATGGAACTTATCACAACTAAGATATATGATTGATTCTACGTACTCTTTCATATTTTGTGTACTGTATGAATTCGTAAAATGGATAAGAAAACATTTTCAAAATGAATATTATTAACAATACGACAAGATAATTCGATTATTGAGAAGATTAAAACAATAAACTTTGAAATAATTTGAACGAGAAAACTAATTTATAGATATGATATATACTAGATTTTGGCAATGTTTATATGAAGATTTGTTCACGTTCGATATGATTCATTGTTTTAGATGATTTTTTTAATACGATTTTGTTCTCGTCGTTTCCTATCTACATTAATTGACTTAGGTTCTCAGATGAAAAAGCTCAATGACAATGGTCAATTTCAGAAAGCTATAGATTTATATGAAGATCAAATTGAAAAACAAAATAAACGAAGTACTAGTTTAATTGTGAATCAAGCATTAAAAGCTTGTATTGAACTTAATGATATTAAACGTGGCAAAGATATTTACAAAAATCTCTGCCCTTCTATGGCAAACAATTCATTTATTCAAGCTAATCTAATTCGTCTATATAGTAAGTTATTTAAATGAATAAGTTCATTGTGATACTTAAATATTCTGTCCTAGTGAAATGTGGTGATTACGAAAAAAGTAAACAAATATTCACGAATAGTAACAATAAAACAACTGTAATGTTTAATTACACTCTCCAAGGTTAAATTTTTTTTTCTTGTTTAAATTAAAAATTTTATTTATCTGATTTAATCAGGTCTTGTTGATAATAATCGTTGTGAAGAAGCATTGAATCTTTTTAGAGAAACTAACATTGCAATAAATGAATATACTTACAGTATTGTATTTAAAACTTGCACAAATATTACTGATCAACGTTCATTAGAATTTGGACAATTGATATTTGAAAGAATGCCTAAAATATTTCATAATAATATTGTGATGATGACTGCTGCTTTACAAATGTTTATAAAATGTGGTGAAATTTCTAAGGCCGAACAATTATTTAGTCGAATACAGAAGAAAAATTTATTTGCTGTTAGTGTAATGATGAACGGTAAAATGATTTATTGTATCTTAGTTTATCACTGAGTTTTCTTTTTTTTTTAAAGGTTTTGTTTCAAACAAACTAGAAGAACGAGCTATTGATCTTTTTTTTCAAACCGAACAATATCATTTTAAGTATATTTTTTAAAGCATGTGCTCAATTAAGTACTGAAAAAGCATTGACTTTGGGTAAAAAAAGTGTTTAATCAATTAGTCATTGAATCTAATCAATCAAATGATTTATTAAATTCGGTTTTAAATATGTTTATTAAATGTGATGATCTTAATAGTGCTGAATCTTTATTTAATCGAATTGATCGAAATATAATTTCTTATGGATTAATGATGAAATGTTATAATATTAAAGATAAACCAGAGAAAACTGTAGAATTATTTCAAAGAATGAAACAAGAAAATTTAAATCCAGATGAAATTATTTTTGTGTTACTTATTGATGCATTATCAAAAATTGGTGATCTTGAATTATCTCAATTATTGCTTTGTGAAATGTCAGAAATTTTTTTATTAGATCCATGGATTCAAGTTGGATTAATTGATTTATGGGTGAAATTTCTTTTAACATAAATCGATTAATATTTCAAAATTTAATATTTTAATAGGGTAAAATAGGTTCACCAGATAAAAGCAAAGAAATATTTGACATGATCGAACATCCAAATAGTATTTCTTTTGCAGCTATGAGTAATTATTATTTTTAAATAAAAGATATTTAATTAAAAAAATTTTATGATTTAAGTAAATATCTATGGTTTGAATGGAATGGGTCTTGAAGCAATTGAATTATTTAATAAAGTTCCATCAAATATGTTGAATGATACTATTTATGTATGTGTATTAAATGCTTGTTCTCATTCGGCTCTTGTCGATCAAGCTTGGAATATTTCGAAAAAATTCCATTTAATCAAAGAACAGAACAAATTTACACGACAATGGTCAATAGTTTTTCAATGAATTAAAATAAAAATTTAATTTTTATATAGGTTGATACAATTAGTCGAGTATTTCTTTTTGATGAAGCACAAAAATTAATTGATGAATATGAAAAATCTCATGATTCTTGCATTCCAATGTACAGTAAGTTAAATAGTTTTTATTGAATTATTTTTACATATTCGAATAAATTAAGTGTCAATACTTTCATCTGCTCGAAATGCAAAATATATTTCATTATCAAAAAATATTTTTCATCGTATTGAATATTATTTTTCCAATAATGAAAATTATCTTACATCAGCTCAAGTTCTTCTTGCTAATACATATGCTTTAAGTGGAAATAAATCAATGGCATCAAATATTCGAATGAAATTAAATCAATCGAATACTAAAAAAGTCGTTGGTTATGCTTGGACGGTGGTTAATGGAAAAGTTTATGTAAGTTAAAACAATTTGAAAAAAATAATTTTATTGAATTTTTTAATAGAAATTTCGAGCTCATGATCGATCAAATGCATATTCATCTGAGATCTATGAAGAATCAAATCGATTAACAGAACAATTAATCAAACATGGTTATAAACCTGATGAGTCATGGATAACACGAGGATTAAATGATGATGAAACAATTCAATCAGTACTATGTGGACATAGTGAACGACTTGCAATTGTTTTCAATTTAATTCAACGACCAATTCCAACTCGTATTCAAATTATCAAAAATCTACGTGTTTGTGGAGATTGTCGTTAGTTAAAAAATTATTTTATTTATTTAAATGAAATTATTTTATTTTAGATTTGGTTACAAAATTAATTGCTCAAATTCATCAATGTTTAATAATAGTCCGTGATGCTAATCGTATTCATCATTTTTATCCAAATGGAAAATGTTCTTGTCAAGATCATTTTTAAGATGAACGTTTCAAAATAAAATCTTCAAGAAAAAGTCGATTCGATTTCTCTTTATAGATAATTAAACAAATTCCTACTTTCTTTCATTGCATTTAGAAATTTAGAAAAATCTCTTTTAAATCATTATATAATAATATCAATCGGAAGAGAAAATGAAACATTTTTCAACAGATTGATTATATTAAAAATATGAATGTTTTTTCATAATTAATTGTTCTTTTTATCCGCAAAACTCGTTTCGATTCAACAATTTTTGGTTGAATTCTTATGTAGAAATTCTTAGTTTTACCATATATTGCTTTGAAATTCATTGCATTGATCATTGATGAGTGTCGATTAGTGTAGTGCACGATTAACAAATTCACGATCAGGATCACGCGTGGTTAGAAACTGTTTTCGTGATCGGGATCACTATTGACGCTAATATTTTGTGATCAAGATTTTACTTAGGGCAATCCAAAAGTAGTGGCAGTGACACTTTAATACCATCTAGTAAGGTTTTGAGAAACTTTCTTTTTATATGCAAGGATAGTATGAACAATGCTCTATTTTTCTGTAGTATTTCATCAATCCTTGACCAATATCATAATAATAAAATTTTAATAAGAGCTGTTTTCCTGTGATATGTGACGATTATACTGATGCCGATCAAAAAAAAACGAGTAGATATTTTTTAAATAACTTTTAATTAAAACAAGATAAACAGTTGCGGTTTGCACTGATCGAAAGAGGAGATAAAGATGAATCGAATTATATGTTATAGAGATTATTGAATAGATATTTTTTACGGTTCTCAATAGACATCTTAGAAAACAAACCTGACCCGTGAGATGTTTACAGAAAATCTTCCATTAATGCGTGTATACTAATGCCCGGCGTGACCAACTCTTTTGGTCGCGGTCACGTCACAGCACGAGGGGTTGATCACGGTCACATTCACGGTGAGCCTAGCCCGCGACCATGAGTCACGGCCCTTCTTTCTGGTTTCTCAACATAAAAAAAAACTTTCCAGAAAGAGCTATTGCAAAGTTTCCCTAGGGAAAATTCTTGATGTTTCCGTACCAGGTCCTTTATGGATTCAGTCAGAATTCTTCCAGGATTCGCTCTTTTTTCCTGAGAAAACGACAAAATCCTGAAAGAAGTGTGTAGCCACGGAATTTCAAAATTCTAACAGAATTCGAAAACGGATTACGTCAGGATCCTCAACAGGTTACCATTGTTGTTGAACTTGGAATAATTTAGAAAACAAGATGTGGTTGTGGGCGTGAAAAGAAGTTCTACTTGTATTAACTGACAAGAACAACCACTGATATACTCTCTTGTTGGCTTTTTGTTGCAACGCTCCTCAGTTTTAGCTGCAAAAATTGACTGGATCATTGTACCAAGATCCGTATCAGATCTTGTCTAAACTTTAATATAATCTTGAGAGAATCCTCTCCATTATTCCTGTTAGGATCCCAAGCAGGATCATGAATGAATCCGGGAAGGATCCTGTATTCATTATCTACAAACACATGTGGTCAGGAACGGAAAGAAACCTTAAACAGGATCGTGTATAACTGTGAGAAATCCTGGCAGCAGGAATTGAGCCGGGACCCCACACCCACAACATGACAAGATCTTGGAGATTCAGGATCCTGATAGATCCTTGCTAAATTTCTCAAGGAATGAACAGAATTGAGACTAGAGTTCTGTTTACTATTAAAAGTAATGATCCGGGGAGACTAGCTTCGTGGAGGTCTCTCTACTCCCCTCAGGGGTTTCCAAAATTTCGAAAAAATTCCTTTGACTGACCGTGACTAAGCTCCAGTCACGGTCACGATCTTTGAAAAAAGTCACGCATGGTCACGGCCGTGACCGTGACTCACTGGTAGTCACGGCGGTCACGCCGGGCACTAGCGAGGATGCATTAAAAATACCGAGTGACAGTATTTTTTTCCAGGGGGATATATATATGCATACACTTAGATGAAGCACATTTTTCCTCTTGTTGAAGCATTAGTTTTATTATTTCTATCCATTTGTCCGCTGGCTTTTTGATTTTTCTAAAGTGAATATATGCTGATATGTATATGTATATATATTCACGATGATCAGCTAGCTTAAATATGTAGGGTTGTGATATTTCGACTGATTCATAAAATCGCATTTTTGACCCGAACGGCATTTTTCCGCTGAAAATGATCATTTTTTCTACCGATCAGATTATTGCCCACTGCTGATTAGTGAAAGTACAGTGGACTTTCGCCATTGATGAATGTCCAGTTGGCGAAAGTCTTATTGGCGAAATTCAGTTAAGCAAAAATTTTTCATCTTGTTTCACATGAAAATTATTTCAAAATAGCTAGATCAGTCTTTTATTTCTGAATGTTTGATTCACTATTTATTAGGTGTAAAATGTTATTTATTTGTGATCTTTTCTTCACTTGTATGATTCTTGCTTTTTATAAATATTTCTTCAATAGGCAGTTATTCAAAGTTTGACAGAATTATTAAGTTAACATGGAGAGGAAAAATTTCGTTTTGCACTTAAGTGTCGTGTGCGAAAATGTCGGTGAATCACCCAACCAGCTCAAAATTATGAGGAATCGATTGCAGACTCAAATTTCTTGACCCCGATTACTTTTGGTCAAGCTTTGTAAAAGACGATAACCTTCCTTCTTTATTCGAGTCAGGAAAAGCGCTCATGAGTGTAAGCTATATACTCCTAAAAGTTTCCAAGCAAATAACCTACAGTTCCGTTCGAAAGTTGAATGCGTTTTGAACGCGATTGCAAGTGCACTTCTTACGATTTTATTTTCGTTAAAATTTCAACACTTTCCCTCCATGTTTGTCCGACCAAGAAGCAATGTGAAAAAGAAATAGAATAATTTAATTTAATTTAATTCAATTCATAATTTAACAAATTTGTACCTTAAGTGCAAATAATTTAGCTTTACAATAAGTTATCAAAAACAAAATAATAATTAACATGTATTTTTAAATATAAATTATGAAAAAAGGTAAGGACGGGGGCGAATAAGACCACAAATCGGCCCCCGGTCAAAACTTAATTCAATCACCTCAAAACCAATAGAAATTTATAGATCTATTGTTTTTATGATTGTTTTAATTAAATAGGTAGATTTTGATTAGCGTTCTG